AAAATAAATAAATTTTGCTAAAGCAAGATGAATGGATTTAGAAACAATTAGATTATTTCTAAAGGTTATTACTTCAAATGATTAGATCGGATGAATCTAAGAATTGTAAGGAGAGGCAGGGCCTTGGCTAGTAGAACAGCCAACCAATCATTTTCCAACGTACTTCAACAGTGGAAAAGCGGATGAACAACCAGTAGAAAGGAAGTGACGCAGGTAAAGGAATCTCAAGCAAAAAGAGAGCGAAAAACACAAAAAGAAAAGAAAATGTGTAAGACTGAGAAGAAAAGCAACAATAAAAACAGTCAATAGAAAAAACTTATGACAATAAGAAAAATTGGAAGAAAAGTATGAAGTACCACAGGGATGAAACACTATTGAAAAAGAGGCAAGTTAAAGATAGTGAGACAAAACATTGCCAAAATCAAATGAAATATTGCACACCACCAAATAAGATTAATAAAACAAAGAAATAAAACTCACCTTGTAAACAAGATTTCTAGCAAAACGCAAAAAAGAAAAAAACAAAAACAACAATACTGTAAGAAGGCAACTCCTTATAAAGAAAGAAGCGTAACATTACCTGACCTTATTTTCACATGATTCAGTGCACAAAGATCTTTAGCAAGTTTATGATACACAGGAAAAACAACAGGAATACATAATACTGTACCAAAAACTGTATCTCATATATGTTGTAGAAAGATCAAAGGTGATTAATCAGTTCATCTAAGTAAAGGAAATAGGAAAAAAAGCAGATTTACCTCTACAAAAGCATAGAAAATATTACATTATGCCATCAAAATTTAAGAGAAAAGCCATTTTATCTAAAAAATTGCAAAAAAAAAAAAAAATGTAGAGTGGAAAAAATCCTATACCCAAGAATACATATACTATGATATGAAGCACAGTTACAGTGATAAGAAAAAAAAACTAAATTTGTCATGTGACAGCTCCTTGTTTAACTGTCTGATGTGGATTCTGGTTTGACTTGAAACATGACAGATTTAGAAGTCCTCTTCATATTATGCCTATGTTTTATTTCTTTTCATACATATTATCATGTCTGGATTCTATATACCCTATATTGTCCAAAATTTTTAGAATATTTCCCACATCTCAAGAAAGTCACATATCTTTAAATGATAAAGCAGTTGTAAAAATTTCAACTAAATTACTTCTTTTTTATACAAGTTTCTGGACTTTTGAAGTAATTGATCTCTATTTCTGTCTTTAAAAAAAGGTTATTTCTGCAAATGAAAAAATACTCAAAGAGCATACTTTACTCTGAAAATAATAACACAGAATTTCTAGCAAAATTGTTTTGTCAGATTTGACAAAACAATTTGTTACTATAAAAATGATAACATAATCTCATGAATCTATAATGCTGCTTGATTTTTCATGTATCTTTACCATGTGAAGCACTGATGTAAATTACCATAATCTTTGTATTGTATTATGAACTATAGCCATATTCAATAATAAGAAGCAGACAATGATTACTTATACCATCATCTACTATTTCCTAGTATTCCACATAATTTCCTTTCTTTTAAACAAAATGGAAAATTAGTCAGAGCAAAACAAAAAGACTTCATTATATACTATTAAAATATGAAATCATTACCTTCACCTAAACAGAGAATATGTAAATTCAATTTCTGTCTTTAATATCTTAATGTTTTGATCAATATGAAGTTTCATGATAAATGTATAATGTGTACACATACTTTATATCAAAAAATTGTAACAGTCAAAATTTAGAGGCCTATAAAGTGTACAAGTACTTTATATTCTTGAAAAATTAAAATAATGATCAGAATTTAGTGTATCATTCATGAAAATACATATGCAGTTATTATTCATAAAAGGGCACTTTCTAATGGTAATAATAATCATAAAAATAAAGAAGCATAAAACAATTTTCTTTAATACACTAAAATTCATCACACTGCTACATGCTTACATTGATTTCTTTAATGTATTTTTAAATGTCCATTTCGGAATCTGATATAAAAAACTATATTGTTCCTGAAGATTTTATAGGCTACATATATTAGGCAGCATTGTCTTCTTTTATGTAAGATGGATGGCCATTAAGGAACACTAATCCTCTTGAATAATAACTGCAACATCTCATTTTCAAACATCTAAAGGATAAGGCAAATATCAAATACAAACATTTCTCCAACAACCATGTTTGTCTACATATTTGGCATAAAAACATTTATAGAATTTTAATGATACAAATAATAGTTAATATATTCCACTTTGTTCTGTGAAAAAATGCAATTACACCAACAACTACTTCACATCCTAAATCTACTAAAATAGGCAAAAATAACATCACTAAGAACTGATAAAAAAGTCAAGAGAGAAATTAGAAATACTTACCAATAAAAGACAAATTAAGAATAAAATAATACTACATGAGAATGTACTGATAGGTAAGTACTTCTCTTTCAGCAAACATATAAATCCTCACAAAAGGCCAATCACTCATATATCAATCTAGCAAACAGAAAAAGCCAAGGCTATTGTGGCCAAACATTGTTATTCGTTCACATTAGTACTAGATGCTTTAAGCTAAACTTGAAACTAACAAGCCAGCTTGAGACATGTGTTGCACTGGCTGTAAAAGAATGGCAATCTGCACAATGCACTGTTGATCACAGCTGTACTAAAGTTTAGTAAATATTATGTGTTAGCTACACATGAGCTATTTTGCTCCTTACTGGGCTAACAGTGGCGACTCCTTGGTGGTCCTGGGTGGCAGTAGTATCCTGATGCTTGGTGTCTTTGTTTGTATTTATATCACATACTTCTTCTGCTGCCTCAGCAAGAGCAGCTTCTACTGTCTTTGTTACAACTACATCCTGAGAAATAGGCACTGGAGAGGCTGCATCAGTTTTACTAGTTTCAGCTGAAATTTCACCTTGGGGCACTGATGCCTTCATCAAGTCAGCCTCTACAGACTCCTGAGTTTTTTCTTTTTCTGGTGTGGATGTGGGAGATGGTGAAGGTGTATGTGTAACAGTGGCTACATATACTGTGGTGGGCTGTGACGCATCACTTTGGGTTTGAGATCTTGATGCTTCTGTCACTTGTTCACTTGGCTTTCTGGCCTCTTCTCCTAGCTCACTAGGAACGACTTTAGTGTCAGCAGTCTTTGGTAGAGATGAGATGCTGGGGCTACTTGCAGCCTCCTGAACTTCCTGAGGTTTAATAAGAGTATCTGAGTTGGTGGTTGCAAGCAGATCAAGAGCAGCACGAGTAGTTGCAGCAGCTACTGCTTCAGCAATAGCCTCAAGAGAAGGGCTGTCTGGAAGTGGTTCATTTCCTGCCTCCTTTTGAACTTCTTTGGCTTCCAACTCTTGTAAAGCACTTTTATCATCTTTTGAAAACTGGTCAGATGTTTCTGGAGCAGTGTGAGATCTGTCAACAAATTCAGTTTCTTTACCAGTCTGGACACTCTCTTCTGTATATTTTCCAGCCTCTGGGATGTCCTTTTCACATCTAACTTGTACTTCTGTTACTTTATTTTTGTCTATAACTAATTCTGAGTTGTGCTCACAATCTGTTTTACTTTCTTGAGAAATGGGAGTCTGAGCTGTTCCTGATCCCGGCTTTGCAGTCACTGTTGTTACATTTTCCGTCTTTTTACCATTTACAGAAACTGCTGTTAGACTCTCTGGTTTCTGTGAATCTAAGCCTAAAAATGCAAGACTGACATGGCTAGTTACTATGCAAGGTACTCCTTCTGCCTCACTTGCATCAATCTCAACATTCTGTGATGGCTTTGAACCAACAACTTGAGTGTCTTTGATTAACAGTTGGGTCTCAGAGGGAAGAAGTGCATCTAGCAAAATTTCAGTCACGCCTTCTGTTTTAACTGGCCCATGACTACCAGCTCTAGTTTCAACACCACCTTCATCATGCAAGAAAGAAGTCTGTACACCAAGAACAGCTACTCCTTGTTCTTCATCTGTCTGTGTGCTGTGTTCTTTGCTGACAGCTTGAGGAGGTGTAAGTGACAAGGCTAGAGAAGTCTGAGTTCCCTGACCTTTGCAGAGAACAGCAGAATCTTCACTTGCTGCTTCATCCATCAGACCCATCCTAATACTAGGACAGTACTCTTCTTCAGGAATAGGAACTGGGATTTCTTCAGCAACAAGTGCTTTTTCATGACCATGAGATTCTTCTGCAAAGGACTTCAGCTCAGAGATATCTGCACCAGTCTCTGTTGCTTCAGAGGAATCTTCTGCTTCAGCATTGGCACCCTGAGCATCATCTGGAGACCGTTTTGGAGTTCCTGTTGTTATTTCCTTTAGTAGAGGTGCTGGGGATGCCTCAGCTTCATCTGGTGTTCCAGGATCTTCTTTCTGTTGCTTATCATCTGAGAGAAACTTGCCCTGCTGAAGGTTTTGGTCATCAGCAGTATCAGATATAAAGTCATAAACATGTGGTACTGTCCTTTGTAGCTGGTGTTTCCTCACAAATATTTGCTGGTTCTCCTGCTTTTGTTCTGCTTCTTCTGACCTTACTTTGAGAACATTATCTCTTCATCTGGAACTTTACTCTCTTTTGATAATACAGTTTCTGCTGAATATTTTGTTGTTCAGTCAGTTCTTGGGATGCAGCAGGAGCATCTGTTTCAATGGGTTGCTTTTCTCAAAAGGAAGATCTACATTCTGTTCCTCAGTTGCTACCTCTGCTGGTGGCTGTTCAGTATCTTGGGTTCTGTTGATTGTTCAGGCTCTTCAGCCTCTTTGGATTCAGCAGATGGTTTTTCAACTTCTTTGGGTTCAGCAGGCTGTTGTTCAATTTCTTTGGGTCTTCAGACTGTGGTTCAACCACTGGGTTCAGTAAACTGCTGTTCAATTTCTTTGGGTTCTTCAGACTGTGGTTCAGACTTATTGGGTTCTGCAGCCTGTGTTTCAGCTTCTTCGAATTCTGCAAGCCTCTGCTTCATCCTCTTTTGGTTCTGCAGATGGTTCAAC